AATACCATTGCTTATGAAAACTAAGTTGCCCACTTCTGTGTGGGGACATGCAATTTTGCATGCTGCAACACTTATTCGTCTCAGACCGACAAGTTATCATAAGGTTTCTCCATTGCAATTGATTATGGGTCAAGAACCTAATATATCCCATCTAAGAATTTTTGAAAGTGTTGTACATGTGCCTGTGGCACCACCCAACCGCACTAAGATGGGATCTCAAAGAAGGTTAGGAATATATGTTGGGTTTAAGTCACCCTCCATTATCCGCTATCTTGAACCATTGATTGGAGACATGTTTACTACTAGATTTGCGGATTGTCGGTTTGATGAATCAGTTTTCCCAAAATTAGGGGGAGAGAATAGTGAAATAAAACGAAAAATTTTGTGGAAAAATTTATCATTGTCTCATCTTGATCCATATTCTTCTACTTGTGAACAATAAGTACAAAAGATTATTCATCTGCAGAAAATTGCAAATCAAATGCCAGACGCATTTATAGATTTGAAAAGGATTACTGAATAACATATTCCTGCAGAGAATGTCCCAATTCGAATTGATGTCCCTAAAGGACCATCCACTAGTGTCATAGCTAATGAGTCAAAAACACACCTAAAGCGTAGTAGACCATTTGGGTCTAAGGATCAAAATCCTAGAAAAAGAAAGATTAAATGTCAAGATGACACTATGAAAGAATCTCACATGGAAGTTCAAAATTTGAATAAGTCTGATATTCATGAAAGAATTAATGAACTTGAGACTCAGGGAAATAAAGAACTATCCATAAATTTAAGAGATGTTGAAACTAATATTAATCGATCAGAAATAGTGGTTGATTATGTCTTTACATATAATGTTGCAACAAATATCACGCAAGATAATGAGGATCATGAACCTCAATCTGTTATAGAATGTCGACAACGAAATGATTGACCAAAATGACAAGAAGCAATTCAATCAGAGTTGAATTCACTCGCCAAGCGTGAAGATTTTGGACCTATAGTTCAAACACCTAATGGTATTAAATCTGTTAATTACAAATGGATTTTTGTGCGAAAAAGAAATGAGAAAAATGAAATACAAAGGTATAAAGCACGCCTTGTGGCACAAGTATTTTCTCAAAGGTCTAGCGTCGATTATGAAGAGACATACTCACCCGTTATAGATGCAATAACATTGTGTTATCTCATTAGTTTCACAGTCCATGAGCAACTTGAAATTCAATTGATGGATAAGGTTACAGCCTACCTTTATGGATCACTTGATAATGAGATATACATGAAAATTCCTGAATGATTTGTGATGCCTAAATCATGTAATTCAAAATCTCGAGAAATGTATTCAATTAAATTGCAAAGATCATTATATGGTTTGAAGCAATCTGGGCGCATGTGGTATAACCGTCTGAGTGAGCATTTAATTAAGGAAGGTTATACAAATGATGCAATTTGTCTATGTGTCTTTATAAATAATACTATATCGGAATTTGTTGTACTTGCTATTTATGTTGATGACATAAATCTTATTGGAACTCCAATAGAGATTCAAAAGGCAATTGATTATTTAAAGAATGAATTTGAGATGAAAGATCTTGGAAGGACAAAATTATGTCTTGGTTTGCAAATTGAGCATTTGACAAATGATATTTTTGTTCATCAATCTGCCCACACAGAAAAAGTGTTGAAAAGATTCTATATGGATGAAGCGCATCCATTAAGTACTCCGATGGTTGTTCGTTCACTTGATGTGAATAATGATCCATTCCGACCTCAAGAAAAGGATAAAGATATTCTTTGTTCTAAAGTACCATATCTTAGTGCAATTGGTGCACTAATGTATCTTTCTAATACTACGAGGCCTGATATAGTTTTTGTTGTTAACTTGTTAGCAAGGTATAGTTCTGCTCCTACTAGGAGACATTGGAATGGGATCAAACACATTTTGCGATATCTTAAAGGGACAACTGATATGGACTTATTTTATTCTGTTAATTGTAGCCCAAATCTTGTTGGTTATGCTGATGCAGGATATTTATCTGATCCACACAAAGCTCGATCCCAAATAGTTTATATGTTTATATGTGGGGGGGACTTCTATATCTTAGAGATCTACAAAGCAGTCCATCGTAGTCACTTCATCTATTCACGCTGAAATAATAGTTATTCATGAAACAAGTAGAGAATGTGTGTGGTTAAGGTCTATGATACATCTCATTCAAGAGAAATGTGGTTTGAAATGTGATAAAGTACCCACCACTTTATATGAAGATAATGCAGCATGCATAGCACAACTTAAGGGAGGATTCATAAAAGGAGATAGAACAAAGCACATTTCACCGAAACTTTTCTATACACATGAACTTCAAAAGAATGGTGGTATAAATGTGCAACAGATTCGTTCAAGTGACAATGTGGCTGATCTATTCACCAAGTCTTTACCAATTGCAACTTTCATGAAGATGGTGCACAAGCTTGGAATGCGAAGATTCAAGTCTCTGGATTGATGTTCTCATTAGGGGGAGTTAATATGCATTGTAGTCTTTTTCCCTTACGAGGTTTTGTCCCACTGGGTTTTCTTCGTAAGGTTTTTAATGAGGCAGCCTAGATGCGTATTAATAGATATGTGTACTCTTTTCCTTTACTAGAGTTTTTCTTTTCTTAAAGTTTTTTTTTGTAATAAGGTTTTTGACGAGGCACATCATCTATGAATTAGACATTCAGGGGGAGTGTTATAAAATATTTGTATTATAGTGAATGTCTATCATGTGGAGTCCTTTTTAGGATATGGTTAAAGAGTCCTACTTGAAGACCAAGTTAGATTTCTCATATAAATAGAGTGCTCCTCTTCATTGTAAATTCATTCATCAAGAGAAATAACAAGTGTTCTCTTCTTTTCTCTCTAGTTTCTTCTTCTTATTCTATAGTTTTATAACAGTTAGGGTATTATTTGTGTGCAAGAATTTTTTATGTTTGAGCAATTAAAAACATTTAGAAGTATCTCTTATAGAAAAATAAGTTTTTTTCTAGAAAAAAAATGGAAAAAATAATTTTTTAGAGGAAGGAAGTAAAATAAATTTTACAAAAGACATCTCATTAATTTTCTTCTATCCGCCCTTTTAATACACCACAATTTACATAGCCCTCATCTTTTCATTAATCTTCTCTTATATTTGTCTAGATTATACAAAAAGAAATTTTCAAATAACTTACTAAATATTAAAAATAAATAAGAAATTTATTTATTTTAAAATAATTGTTATATATAAAATATGCAAAATAAGGGGCTTCTTATGTAATTATATAAGCGACGAAAAATACTTTCAACTAAAATAATTTCATACATAAGGTATCAATATTATATAAATAGTTATATAATATATCAATATAATATTTATTATGTATAATTTTATATATATAATGTATAACTATGTTAATTAGGTTATTTTATAGGATATTCTGCATGTTAAATAATTATATTTAAGAGCCAAAAGTATAAATACAAATACATGACTTAAGTTTGGCGTAGATACCGATTATGAATAACTTTTCACCCAGATTATTGGAGTTGAGTAATGTTAAGTGTCTTCGACATATAATCTATAAGTTATCAGCGTAAATAATAGATCAATTATTAATATTCATATTTGAATAAATTACTTAATCATGCCTTTTTATGTATGATATTTTAAATTTACAAAATGTTGATGTATGAAACCTATTATTTTGGTTTATATATAATATATTTACCTACTTAAACTCAATGAATTTAGTTTTAAAAAATACGAAGAACGTTTATCGGAGGTAATCATTATCAACTACCAAGCTAATAAAAATATATTGACAACATAATTATACGAAATAGTGGATAATGTAAATAAAAATATAATATAAATATTAAAGTTTTCAACAATTTTATCATTTGTTTTCTTTGATCTTATAAAAGAAATATATTATTATATTTTAACATGATTAATTCTAATATAATTGATGCATAATTTTAATGCATTATAAAAAAGGAATAAAGATGATGTTTTAAGGCAACACATTTTGCAACCTACAAATGTCTAAATTGTTCTTATTTCAAATTTGCAATATTTAAAATTATTTGATTAATTTGAAAAAGTTTCTCATTCTATTTCAAATAAATAAAATAATTGTTATTTATAAAGGCTGAAAACTCTTTCTCATTCTTATTATATTATTTATAATCACATTTTAATTAAGTTGAAAGATAAATATTAAATATAGGTTTAATATGCAAATTTAATAAGAATTATGATATGAAATTAATAATATAGAGTAAAAATTTAGTATAAGGCCTTAAATATATACTTATAGAGCCAAATATTAATAATTTATAATTGTTATGTTATTTTTTACTCTTCTTTTTTCTGCATATTTGTTGTTTTTATGATAGTATTATTCATTGACATAAACTCTTTGACCTCAGATAGATATATAAGACTAAAGATTAATTTTAATTGATAAGATATTGATTAAGTGCTTACAATAGATTATATTAGATATTATTATAAAAATGTTATTAATGAATATAAAGATTTGAGTTAGCTAATTCAAAATTTTAACATATTTTTGGAAAGAGTTAGATAGCTTTTCTCTCTCTCTCTTTAATAAATGTTGAATCTTTTTATTGAAAATGTTCAATATTTCTTTTACTAAAATTAAAAACATAAAACTAATCATTAAAAATTATTAGGACCTAAACAAAAAAGCCACTCCTATATATATATATATCTATTTTCTTAGTTCTTAGTTCTTCTTACTAACAAATTTCAAAAAAAAGTTGAATCAATATTTTTTCCAAATCTAATCACACTATTCATTACAAGAAGGATCATAATAAATAACTAGTTGAAACTGAAACTAAACCTTGTTAATAGTTGAATGTTTACTCAAAAACTAAACCAAAAAGGGATGGTGAAAAAAGGAGGAGGAGAAAGTAAAGGTATAAATTCTTGTATATAAGATTAGTGCATGTAAACATAAAAGCACAGTAAATGCAAAGTCCAGAAGCATCTTATGTCACTTTCAACTTACACTATCTGCCTTTTATACACTCTGCACTCTCTCTTAAATTCTCTTCCATCAATACTACTACTTTCTATCTTTCATTCTTATGGCATCCTCTCCACCTGATCAAGAACAACAACCACCTCAATTTCCTCCACTTCACTACAGGGTCATATCTTTTTAATTTATATTCATTACTCTTTCAAGTTCTCTTTTTGATATTTTTTTTATACTTAATATATTTTTTTTTTCAGACATGGGTTTTGAAAGTTTCCATCCATTGTCCAGGCTGCAAGAGAAAAGTCAAGAAAGTCTTGCAAAGCATTGAAGGTTCGTTTTCTTTTCTCCTCTCTTCTCTTGTAATCTGCATGTATATATATATGTTCTCTCAATATGTATAAATTAAAATATAATCACTTGAAATTGCTATTGTAAAATTCAGAACCTGTGCATATCCATATCTAATCAATTATGGGTGTTTTGTGTTTTTGTTTAGGTGTTTATACTACGGATATTGATCCACAACAACAGAAAGTTATAGTGACTGGAAATGTTGAAGCTGAAACTTTGATAAAAAAACTGATAAGGAATGGAAGAAGTGCTGAGTTATGGCCAGAGCCGAAGCCTATATTAAAAGAGAAAAAACCAAAGAAAAATGAAAACAGCGAAGACGACGATGATGATCATGAAGATGATGAACATAATAATAATAATAATAATGAAAAACCAGCTGAACATGGTCCTCCAAGACATGGTGTGAGGTTTGGCGGGGTTGAGACTTTTACGATGGATGTCAAAGAAGTAAGGCCAGATGAAAGGCCGCCGGAAAATATCGCCGTCGTTGAGAGGTTCCCGGCGCCGGAGCAAAAGGCCGGCGGCGGTGGAGGAGCTAAGAAAAAGAAGAAAAAGAAAAAGAAGAAGAGTAGTAGTGGGAATAACAATGCAAATCCAAATGCGAGTGCAGGGTCTAATGGTGCACCGCCAGGTAGCGAATCAGATGCTGCGAAAATGGGTCCCAATCAGATGATGGATCAAGCGAATCAAGGCCATTCAAATCAGCATCCTTATCCTAACCCGTGTGATCAGCATCCACACGCTAGTTATTATGTTCCTCAGCAGCATCAGAGTTATATTGTGAGTTACAACGCGGCACATCCTATGGTAAGCAGTGCGCCGGCATATTACTATGTTCCATCATCACCGTACATGCAATCTGATATTTATTCTAAGCAACAATGTACACCGTTAGATTCTTTTGAGATCTTGAGTGATGAAAACCCTCATGCTTGCTATATCATGTGATCAAAGTTGATGTGGAATTTTGTATATTAAGACAAAATAGTATTCGAATTTTGGCAGGAAATTAGAGTTCTAATTTCTGTATTTAGAGTTCAGATAAGTAGTAAGCATATTGTAGAAAAATGTAATGTGCTATACTACTCCCTACTTTATATTTCAGCTTAATTACTAACCGTTTTTGATACTATCTGAAATTTTTTGTTTTTTTTTGTTTGTCCTCTATCGAAACAAAGTAGTAGAAGGAATATTTATTATGATCTCTCCAAATAAACATAAGCTTATCGCTGAATGTCTCTTCAATTACGAAGATAGTCGCGTATCCTCATTTTATAACACTATTTTGAACCCTTTTAGGGGAAGATATTGTGAAACCCTTCAAAGTCTTGCTAGAGTGAGAAATTTTGTTATTTCTTTTTGAGTTCTAAATGAATCTTTAATTTTGAAATTTACTCGATCAGGAAAGGCAAAAATTGAATATCAATCAAATAAGTAAATTTATTTTTGAGGAAAATCTAAATTAGTTCAACTCCATATCATTAAATTCCTTTTCAAGCAAAAGGGTTAAAAAAGAAGGGAACATAAAGAAAGATGCAACACATATAGGAAAATGTGGTATTTTAGTTACAACCATTCAAATCCAATAAACTAAAGTTTGTGATTGAAATTCACAATGTTGAAAACCTAAATTACATGAAATAGTACCAATGGAAGAAATGGATATTGAGAAAACTTGCATGCATTTTATCACTTTATACAAGTTATAGAAAGTAGCCTCACAACATAAAGGGAATATAATTCTTTTTTTTTTCAAAGGCAAATGAACTTTAGAGGCACTAAAAGAGGTTGATGGATATAATTGGAATAATTTAAGCTTATGCATGCACAGCTATCCATTGAGAATATTCACAAGAGAGGCCAATAGTTTTCTCTTCTTTATTACTTTTCCTAGCAATTTTGCTATCCAACACGTCATCTAAATAGGCATAATAAGGAATATTAATTTTAATATTTACTGTTACTAGCTTCTTCATGCATAAAAGTTTGAGATATCTAATACATGGAAATTAACAAAAAAAAAGGGGGTTTTAAAGACGACTGACTTTCAAAGTTTTCTAAATGGGTAATAGGACAAACAAAGATCTTTAGAGAGAAAATGTAAATACTTGAAATGAAAAGAAAAAAGAAAAAAAAAAGAATATTGTTACACTAATTGGTGGGAATCAACATCTTTGTGAACCTTGTAGACTTTTAAAAAGTTGACCAATCTTCTTTTTCAATTCTCTTGTAGCAACTCTTTTTTTTATTTAGTCGATTTATTTTTTAATTAATTTTAAAAGAATAATTTTTTTTTATATTTAATAAAAATTCATTTTAAAATATTTTATTTAACTCTTGGTTATCTACATAAATATCTATCACTTGTTTCAGATTATAATTTTTAAAAAATATTTATTTTTTCTTAAAATTTGTTAAATTAGATTATAGAACTTTGAGAAATTGCATTTTGCCAGGAGATTTCCTTTAAAAAGATTCTCCATTTATAATTTATAATTAAAAAATAAGTCAGATCAATCTTATTTAAGGATAATGTCAAATTCTGAGAAAAAGAAAATAATTTGTACTACTAGTCTTTGTTGTTGGGTCAGAACTCTCTCGAGTTACGTTGTATTGCTTTAGTTTAAGTATATAATAGAATACGTAATGTATATTACCTTATCCTAAAGTTACGATGACTCGATTATAAGAGAACTAAATAATACTTCATAATTTTAATATTTTTAATATATATATATATATATATAGTAATGAAATAATTTCGTTAAGTACTTCTAGTATCTTTTTTGGGGGGCTATCTATCTTGTCGTATTATTTATATTTTTTATGATATATATGAACTTACATAATTGTTTCTATATTTATCTTTTTATTTATTTTCTTTTCATAATTTTTATTTTTTACTATTGGGTATTTTGAAAATTTTAAAATAATTTAGCCTTCTTTATTATGCAAAATTTATTATTTTCTACTTATAAAAAGAATAAAATATATTTTTGTATATTGAGTAATGGAACAAGTCAATATTTTAATATCATCGTATCAATTCTCAATTTTTGAATTAAAATTTTATTAATTTAATTTTATATTATATTTTTATTAAAAAATAATATAATTTATATTTTTACTTCATAAGATATACTTACTATTTACATTTTGTAGACATTATATATCGGATTATTCAATTTGTATATATCAGATAAAATTCAAACTTTTTTTGTTTATAAAAAAAAAAACTTTTAAATTCAAATTTTATTGAGACGGTTCTGCGTAAAGAAATGAAAGTGGATTTCTTCACTAGTAAGCTATGAAGAATATAATAAAATAATTTGCATTGGAGGTATATATGTCAGAAAATATTGATAATATCGTTGAGGCACAAATTGTTTGGCTTATTGCGAGAAGTGAGATAAACTCTTCCTAAAAATTCGTGCTGTTAGAACTAGGACCTGTTTGGTTATGAGAATTATTTTAAACTTTTTCTTACATAGAATTCGAAAATTAATATTTAATTATGCAAAATTTTAAATATAATTTAAGAATGTGAGACTCAGAAAACATTCAAAAATCTTATTTTGACTTTTATTATATACTAGACACATGCCCCAAGCTTGTATAGACACTATATCTGTTTATTTCGTCTCATTTTATATAATTTATATAAAATTTAGATAGAGAATTAAATTTTAATATGATTTTTAAATATTTTAAATTATTAATTATTGTAATTTATAGTATTTTTAATATAATTTTAAGTAATATATTTTTTTTGTCGCAAATAAAATTTCAAGAGTTAATATGTTATTAATTATAACGTGAAATCACACATGTAAAGTAGACATGTTGGCTGCCTCATGTGTTGTTAAGATGGATAACTAAATATGAATAAGAAATATATTTACGTATACAAAATGTCAAAAGCTTCAAATCAATAAATAAGTTGAAATTAATTAAAAACCTCTACTTATTAAAATACAAATTTTCAAGAAGAAAATCTCGTAAATCAATTAGTAAATGTAAAGAAAGGTCTTTAATTATAAAAAATAATACTCCTCTGTCCATTATTAATTGTCATACTTTTCATTTTTAAAGTCAAATTATAAAAACTCTCACTAAAATTTTACAATATATATTTTCATCATATCAGTATGCAAAAAATTGCAATATAGTTTTTGAGTATCTAAATTTGTTCTTTAAACTATTAAAATTAATGTAATCTTAACTTTGAAAATTAGTCAAATTGATTTTCGAAAAGCGCAACATAACAAATAAGAGTGCACTGAGAGAGTAATTGATTTATGAGGAAAAAAAGAGCTAAAATTAAAACAGAAATAAAAAATGATGTTTGCAAGGTTTTAACCCTAGACCTTTTGGCTTGAAATATCAAGCCTGATCCAGTAGGCCAAATAGCTAAAACAGACATGTTAACCTTCAATTGTGTGCTTATTGTCACTTATATATAAATAATAGTAGTAGTAAAAGCAGAAGCACATATACTTTTTCAAATTTTACCTTGATTTTTTTTATAAAATAACTTCACTTAAATTATATTTCATACTTATAGATAAAGTATATACAAATGACTGAACATTATTTGCATAAATTATAAAGGGATAATGAACAAGTATCCCCTCAACCTATGCCTGAAATTTCAGAGACACACTTATACTATACTAAGGTCCTAGTACCCCCTAAACTTATTTTATTAATAATTTTCTATCTCTTTTTGACCTACGTGGCACTATCTTGTGGGCCCAACGCTGATTGACTTTTTTTTCAAGCTAGTGTCACGTAGGCCAGAAATGGGTAGAAAATTACTTATAAAATAAGTTCAGGGGGGGTAATAGGACCTTAGATAGTATAAGTGTGTCTCTCGGATTTTGGATATAGGTTGAGGGGATACTTGTGCATTTTTCCAATTATAAATAAACACAACTCTAACTAAAAATAAATTCAAATTAAATGATTTTTTTTCAGGAAAACGTACAAGTACCCCCTCAACCTATGCCCGAAATCTCAGAGACACACTATACTATATTAAGGTCCTATTACCCCCTGAACTTATTTTACAAGTAATTTTTTACCCCTTTTCGACCTACGTGGCACTAACTTGAAAAAAAATCAATCAACGTTGGGCCCACAAGATAGTGCCACGTAGACCGAAAAGGGGTAGAAAATTATTAATAAAATAAGTTCAGGGGGGAGGAGGGTAATAGAACCTTTGTATAATATAAGTGTGTCTCTGAGATTTCGGGCATAGATTAAGGGGGTAACTGTGCATTATCCCTTTTTTATCTATAATAGTGTGTAGTAACTAATTGTATATGGGATCTAATCTATGACATAATTATGTGACTATTATTTTCATGAAATTACTGTGTTAGAGCCTATCTGATAGTATATAATTTAGTTAAACTAGTCAAGTCAGATAATTTTGCTAGTTTTTAAAATTAATAAATATGAGTCATATTTTAATAAAATACATTCAATTAATTTTATATATTATTTGTAAAAAAATAGCAAGAAACAACTCCAGCTTTAACTTAAACTCAATTATAAAATCAAGCTCATAAGAATATGATTAAAGAGAAGAAGTCAAGGGAAGTAGATAGAAGAAAAGAAATTTTCTTCTTATTCAAGTGTATATTCCGAATGGTGAGTGATATCTCTATTTATAGTGTTAAGATATCACTCCCAGAGGTCACCATGATAAATGCTCAATTAACAGGTATATATTTATCTACAAAGATTCATGTTACCTTGAAAATGTAGATACATGATAAGATAAGTCCATGAAGAAAGCAAATGGACAATCCACTATTCAATGGATCTATAACAAACTCTTTTTTTTAAAAAAATAAACTACTTTATTTATTTTCATGATCATAAATAACGTATAGCACAACTCCAACTCCAACTCTAACTTCAAACTTTAAATTTTCAAATAAACTAAAAAAGAAATGATTTCGTTCGTCAAATTTCATTATCGTGAATAGTCACTTTTTAGATATATATATTTCATAAAATTTTGTCAATTTTAAATTATTTGAAGTTTAATAAAATTTGTTCATCCTCCTTCTCCTTCTCACCCTTTAAATATTTGGATTTTGAAGTTAAACATCTGAAAATTTT